CTACTTCGAGAAGTAATCAGTTGCGACCAAAATATACAGATGTCCACTAGAATACTTTGGCAATGGACCAACAACATTCAAACCCCAAGCATCAAATGGCCAAGAAGCAACAGTTGGGTGTAATACTTCATGTGGTAGATGTATGAAGTTAGCATGGAATTGACAAGCTTTACACCTTCGAGCGTAATCTTGGCTTATTTTTACCATCGTAAGATTGCTCTATGTTTAGGCATTATTATCAAGCCTTAATACTATTATTAATTTTTGTAAATACATTTTCCAAAACATGCTCGGTAGAAACACAACAAAAATATTTTCTTACAATAGAATTTATTTTTGAGGAATTTTCATAAACCACTATAATTTAGAGTCTAATAATTATAGTTTGCCTAATTAGTTGTTACATTCCGTATCTTAGCATTAAGATGTGCCGTAGTAAATTCATATGAGCTCGAAGGGATTATGTCTATTAGGAAGTTATAGAGGATTTAAGACATTATTATTATTATAAGATCCTGTAAGTGATTATAGAAGTGATACTTAGCTATTATCACTGTTGAATTCAGTCCTTAAAATCTATCCATTTCATAATATTTTCATGTTTACATGTGGCGTTTGACCCTATAGTCAACTGGAATATACGATTTGAGAATGTCTAAATGCCTGCATCTTCTTGAATTGCATTAACATTATGCTGCTTAGATCAATTCATTTTCCATAAAGAATGATGACAATAAGGATCTCATCTTTGAAGGTAAACAAAATAGTGGAAGTTAGTGGTCAGAGATGACATGTTTAGTTTGCAATTTGTTTTGGTTTCCCTATACAATCCTTTAAAAGAAATCATTTGAGAGTGTCACTAAATAGTGAGGGTATCATTTTCTGGACTTCCTTACAAACGTTATTCAAGAGGAAAACAAGCTTGAATACTGGCATTCTGACATTTTACATAGTGAAATAACATTCACCTACATTTCCTACTTAATCATGCATATCCTTTCAGAATAATAGAAATTAAGATACTTGTATGAAATTAAGATATCTCTATTTACTCATGACTCAGACGGCGTTATATACGTGTATATATGTAAATATATGTATATGGGATATGGGAAAAAGGTTACGGCATTATATACGCATCACCACATGATCAGATGGTATACATTGATGATTTTACTCATAGTAGTACCAGATGGCGTTATATACGAGTATATATGTAAATATATGTATATGAGATATGGGAAAAAGGTTACAGCATTATATACGCACCACCACCTGATCATATGGTATACATTGATGATTTTGCCCATAGTGGCACCAGATGGCATTACATATGCGTATATATGTAAATATATATATATATATGGGATATGGGAAAAAGATTACGGCGTTATATACGCACTACCACCTGGTCAACTGGTATACGATGATGATGTTGCCCACAGTGGCTAAAATGATATGATGGGATTCCCTCAGAGGCTTGATGATGTTATGTATGTACAGACCTATGCATTACATGTCATTTATATGCATATGCATGATACTAAAGATATTTCATAATTTTGATTTACAAAGCCATCCAGATTTACAAGCTGAGTTATTTACTCCACGTTTTCTTCTATGTCATACTTATTTACATGTCTTACATACTCAGTATATTATTCTACTCACGTCTTTTTGTTGGGGACGCTGCATTCATGCCTGCAGGTGTAGATAATCAGTTTGACGAGCCTTCATCGTAGATGAGATTGGCATTCATCGAAGGATCGGTAAGACTCCATCTCATTCGGAGTGCAGCCGTGTCAATGAGTCACATGCTAGAGTTTTGCTACAGACTTATGGGTAGACCAGTATCCTGTCCCATTTTATGTCAAATAATCTTAGAGGCTTTGTAGATACATGGTTACTATGTACAGTATGTCAGAGACCTTGACGGCCCATATGTATTCACGTTTTATGAACGATGGTTCATTGATATAACATTTGCCCACTTACAATTTTAGATTACGAGTTGTGGTCATGTTGGCCCATGATAGTTATAAAAAGGAATGAATGAGTTACAGAGTGATTCGCTCGGGCCACTACGGCACCGGGTGCCAGCCACGCCTCCCTAGGTTCGGGGCGTGACAAAGTGGTATCAGAGCCAGGTTGTGTCCTAGGGAGTCTACAAAGTCGTGCCTAGTATAGTCTCACTTATAGATGTGTTGCACGCCACATTTATAATTGAGAGGCTATAGGGCATTTAGGAAATGTTACCCTCCTTTTGTTTCCAGATCGTGCCATAGAGCTAAGTCGTAAAAATTCAGTATAAAGTTTCCACCGAATTTTGTATGCACTAGAGGTGCTATCACAATAGAGCTTTAAGGCGTAGATGTAATTTCTACTTATGTGGAAGGGAGGTTATAGAAGAAACAGAAGATACGATGCATAGTTGAAAAGTAAATAAGGTAAAAGTGAAGAAGATACGAGATACTGAAGTACAAAAGGTTGTGAATAGTCTAGAGCTCATATAGAGGTTGGGTTAGAGTTTAGTATACAGAAGAGACCCTAGCAAGAGTTTTGAAAATCTCAAAGAGTTAACATTCGAGGATGAATATTTCTAAAGGGGGGAAGGATGTTACATCCCGTATCTTAGCATTAGGATGTGCCGTAGTAAATCCACATGAGCTCGAAGGGATTATGTCTATTAGGAGGTTATAGAAGGTTTAAGATATTATTATTATAAGATCATGTAAGTGATTATACAAGTGACACTTAGCTATTATCAGTGTTGAATTCAGTCCTTAAAATCTATCCATTTCATAATTTTTTCATGTTTACATGTGGCATTTGACCCTATAGTCAACTAGAATATACGATTTGAGAATGTCTAAATGCCCAGTCTTCTTGAATTGCATTAACATTATGCTGCTTAGATCAATTCATTTTCCATAAAGAATGATGACAATAAGGATCTCGTCTTTGAAGGTAAACAAAATAGTGGAAGTTAGTGGTCAGAGATGACATGTTTAGTTTGCAATTTGTTTTGGTTTCCCTATCCAATCCTTTAAAAGAAATCATTTGAGAGTGTCACTAAATAGTGAGGGTATCATTTTCTGGACTTCATTATAAACGTTATTCAAAAGGAAAACAAGCTTGAATACTAGCATTCTGACATTTTACATAGTGAAATAACATTCACCTACATTTCCTATTTAATCATGCATATCCTTCCAGAATAATAGAAATTAAGATACTTGTATGAAATTAAGATATCTTTATTTACCCATGACTCAGACGGCGTTATATACGCGTATATATGTAAATATATGTATATGGGATATGGGAAAAAGGTTACGGCGTTATATACGCACCACCACCTAATCAGCTGGTATACATTGATGATTTTGCCCACAGTGGCACCAGATGTCATTATATACGCGTATATATATGTAAATATATATATGAGATATGGGAAAAAGGTTACGACATTATATACGCACCACTACCTGATCAACTGATATACATTGATGATTTTGCCCACAGTGGCACCAGATGACGTTATATACGCGTATATATGTAAATATATGTATATAGGATATGGGAAAAAGGTTTTATCATTCTATATGCACCACCACCTAATTAGCTGGTATACGATGATGATGTTGCCCACAGTGGCTGAAATAATATGATGGGATGCCCTCAGAGGCTTGATGATGTTATGTACGTACAGACCTATGCATTACATGGCATTTGTATGCATATGCATGACACTAAAGATATTTCATGATTTTGATTTACAAAGCCATCCAGATTTATAGGCTGAGCCATTTACTCCACGTTTTCTTCCATGTCTTTTATATACTTATTTACATGTCTTACGTACTCAGTACACTATTCGTACTGACGTCCTTTTGTTGGGGACGCTGCATTCGTGCCTGTAGGTATAGATAATCAGTTTGACGAGCCTTCATCGTAGATAAGATTGGCATTCATCGAAGGATCGGTAAGACTCCATCTCATTCGGAGTGCAGCCGAGTCTATGAGTCACATGCCAGAGTTTTGCTACAGACTTATGGGTAGACCGGTACCCTGTCCCATTTTATGTCAAATAATCTTAGAGGCTTTGTAGACACATGGTTACTATGTACAGTATGTCAGAGGTCTTGACGGCTCATATGTATTCACATTTTATGAACGATGGTTCATTGATATAACATTTGCCCACTTACAATTTTACATTACGAGTTGTGGCCATGCTGACCCATGATAGTTATAAAAAGGAATGAATTAGTTACAAAGTGGTTCGCTCGGGCCACTACGGCACCGGGTGCCAGCCACGCCTCCCTAGGTTCGGGGCGTAACATTAGCATACATAACTACTACTCAATTGTTACTAACTTGTATCACTTATATTCAAACGTGCAACGAATATGATATATATTAACTATAATCAAGGCAAAATATAAAGGAGTATACAAAGGAAACAACGAATATAAAATATATACAAAGGATACAAGCCGTATTGTTCGCGCAACGAATACAATCAAGGCGAAATACGGAATACAGAAAAATCAAATATTCTTTGTTGAGAGTGAAATTCAAGACCTCCATTAACTAAGCGAGTGTTCTAACCAACTAAGCTACGAAAGCTTGTTGCTCTCTTGTTTCAGTTCACAATAATTAACCTCTTATTTGGATGCAATAACATTCAAATATAGCTACGGACGATAAGTTTCTCGAAAGTAGCTAAAAATAATAAATACAACATAAATGTTTGATGTATCGCATAATTNTATAATTTATAGGTAAGGTCAGAAAGTCGTCATTCACAACTAATTCAGGGACTGCATTTGCAATATGAGGAAATATGCGTATCTCAAATGGATATAAACGCAAACGTGGAGTCAATGACACGTCAGTCAGGAGGAACTTCGAAAGCGACAGGGATTATTATGTCCAACCACAGAATGCCACGTTGCAAAATGGGACCATAACTTCCCTGGACGGCAAGAATAGGCGGTGTTGTAGCTACGAATCCCCATTTATCGGACTCGGACCCCTTCTCTCTCTCCAGAGCATTTTGCAAATAGTTTTACAGTTTGATTACAATTTTCCAGGAGTTATATCGATTGAATCGGTATCGATTATTTGTTGTAATTACCAAATCTAATCCAAATATAATCGCAACCGATGCAACGGCTCGTTGACCATACCCTCGCTGTCACCAAAGAGTAAGTTTTCATTTGTCCTTCTTTATGTGTATAAAACTATAAATACACAAGCACCTGATACAACTACATTGATGTACATCTACATGGATGCCCGTATGCGTATTCAGGCATATTCTCGTTCCAATTGGAATGAAATGGATGAGTGGATGTTTGGGAGATATATGTGGTTGATCCCAACTGATATTGGATTAAGACGAATTTGATTGATTGATTATTCTACAGTGAAGTGGTGATGTGTTGATTCTTCGCAATTAGTTTTTAAAAAGAATGTGAATAAGTTGGCCTAGTTGTCAATGAAGTTGGTTAAGAACCATCATGTCTCATGTTCAAATCCCAGCGAGACGAGACGAAAAACACTGACGAATTCTTTCCATCTATTCAAGCCCTGGTGGATAGAGTTACCAATTACCTTCTAAGCTGGCTTGGACCCCATGGTTATCAGAAAAGAAGAATGTGAATATTGCTTTGAAGCTTCTTTTTTGGGTTTAGTTAATCAGCCAGAGCTTAAGAAAATAAAAAATACACGATATATTGAGTTGTAATATACCTTTGGTTTGAAATTTTGTGGTAGTATAAGGTTAAGATAAATGTGCAATTGAAAAATGAATGTTAGACATAAGTATATGTGTGTGAGCGTGTACTTATGCTATGTTTTCTGTATATATACGAAACAAATTGATATTGAAGAATAGGCACAGTTGGATAGTTACATTAACAGATTACTAGTATTAATTATGCTATGAACTTCTACGGGGCGTATGTGCAGAAAAAAGTGACAAAATTAGAGTTTTAGTTGTCTAAGAAATAGAATTGTGATGGCATGTATCTCGTTATTATAGTAGAATGCCAAATTAACAGACTATTACCATTTACCGCCACCAGACATGATAGCATCAATTCATCTTTTGCATAATAAATTCATGACGTGGAGGACATTATTGAACAGTTGTAAAGGGTCATATCTTCAAGAGAGGAACTAGAAATGAAAACGCATACCAATCTAACCATTTAGGATATGAGCGGTAGATCGGTGGGAATCCTTGGAATCAATGCAAACTTAGCTAAAGATAGAGCACAATGGAAGAAAAAGATCCATATAGGTGATATCTACTAGTTGGTAATATGTTTTAGATGCTAGAGAACTTCTAATACACACACATATATATATATACACACACACACACACATATATATATATATATATATATATATATATATATATA